ACGCGATTTTTCGTACAATCAGGGGCCATAATTCAGGAAGTTATGGTGCAATATGTGCGAATATCGAAAGGAACTGAGATCTGTGGGTTATAAACATACATTTCAAGTTTCATCAAAATCAGAAGTCAGTTTTGGTCCGATAATTCGAACTCACCCATCCTAAGGGTGTAACGGTGATATATACAAAGGTTTTTTTAAATGCTCCAACTAGTCCTCCACAATTAAGTGACATATAGACAATTCAACATATATCTTCATCAACAGATTTTGTCACTATCTCAACCTAATATGCTTTAACTGTCCCTGGCTTGTCATCTATTTATTTTGGTATTGTGACAGGGGATACTGTTGGCTTGTTTATTCTTACCTGTTCTTTGAAGAGGCGTGAGAGATTAGCACAATCAGTTGATTTTATAAAATCCATCACATTAGTTATCGTCCATTCCAATGGATTCTTGTCTAATTTTAATATATCTTCTTTTTTAATGGTAGAAACTGGGTAGATATCTTTCTTTTGAAATGATTGATGGGAATGTTGGGAATGATGACTTTGCTTTGTCTGAAATATAAATTGTCCTATTCACATGTAATTCAAGTAAACTATTTGTCTAAATGGTTTTGTTTACATGTAGTGCGGTCCTTCTGCACTGACTACTATGTATATTAACAAAGTACACCGACTACTAAGTATATTAACAAAGTAAAGAGTCACTCGGGAAACCTTGTCACATTCCGTAGCCTTATGTTGAATATCAGACCATAAAACTGAAAAATGTCACATTTTCCTATGAGGATTCAACCAACACATCATTTGTCATATGATAATTTATAATATTCAATCAGAAAACTTACAGATTGACTGGATTTTGATTTTTGGCCTGTTGAATATGGTGAGGAAATCATTATTTTCTTGTGAGTTCTCCTTTCAAAGCTATATCTTGGTCGTTTATCTCCCCTTGTTCGTATGTCAGAAGGAGGTGGAATATGATGTATATACTTTCTTTTAAGTCTCATGGAAGCTTTAACAGCTTTTACACTGGATTTATTTTTCGACTCTGTTGTACTGGTACTATCAACTGTTCTTGTGTCACTGTCAATACTAGCCTTGTCATCATCACCATCATCTATCATATCAACGTCTGGTGAGTTATGTCGTGTTTTACGGGACTCCATATTTATCTTTTTCTTCTTCTTACCACATTTCTTCTGACCATTTTCAAGGTTGCTATGACCTCCGGGAGGTCGACCAATCTTCTTTTTTTTTTTACCATAATAATATGCTGAAATATTGGTACCCAGGAGAAGTCTTAAGATTGGTAGATAACTCAATATACATTTCTATGTTCATATGCACTATCATCTTTTTACATTGAAAATATTTTTACAAACTACAAGATAGTTTTGAGATTAAAAGGAAATTTAAAAATTACAAAGTTTTAAAGTTATAATGATCTAAAATCCTTATCAAAACTTGAAATGATCTAAAATCCTTATTAAAACTTAAAAATACCAGCGGCTGCCAGGCAGGATACGATCACATTTTGCAAGAGATGGATAAAGAACAAGCTAAAAACAAAAAACGAGTTTTTGTACAATCAGGGGTCATAATCCAGAAAGTTATGGTCTGAAATGCGCAAATATCAAAAGGGACTGAGATTTTTGGAATATAAAGATATGTTTTAAGTTCCATCAAAATTGGATAAAAATTGTGACCTCTAGAGGGTCCATAACCTTTGAATTACATACTTATATACAATTTGCATACAAAGAGCGGCCATTTTGTCGGCAGTTTCATTTCGATTTTCCCAAAATTCCAATTCAACCTTCATTATTGTGGAATAGTGATCTAAATGGTTTTTAAAATCGAAAAAAAAATTGTGACCTCTAGAGAATCCACAAGCTAAAAATGTGATTTTTCGACCAATCAGGGACCATAATCCAGGAAGTTACGATCCGATATGCACGAATATCGAAAGAAACCAAGATCTTTGGGTTATAAACATGCATTTCAAGTTTGATCAAAATCGGATCAAAATTGTAACCTCTAGAGTGTTCACAAGCTAAAAATGTGATTTTTCGTACAATCAGGGGCCATAATTCATGAAGTTTCGATCCAATATCTGCGAATATCAAAAACAACCAAGATCTTTGGTTATAAACATGCATTTCAAGTTTCATCAAAATCGGCACAAAATTGTGACCTCCAGAGGGTCCACAACCTTGATATACCAGATATTTACACTATTTGCGTATGAGGGGCGGCCATTTTGTGGGTCAGTTTGGTCCGATTTTTACGAAATTCAAACTCAACCTTCATTACGGTGTAACGGTGATATAATCAAACGTTTTTTTGAAATCGGATAATAATTGTTAGAGGGACCAGAAGCGAAAAAAGGAGATTTTTCGTACAATCAGGGGCCATACTTTAGGAAGTAACAATCCGATATGCGCAAATATTGCAAGGAACCAATATTTTTGGGTTATAAACATGCATTTCAAGTTTCATCAAAATGGATTAAAATTGTGACCTCTACAGGGTCCACAACCTTGATAAACCATATTTTTACACTATTCGCGTACAAGCGGCGGCCATTTTGTCTGGCAGTTTTGGTCCAATTTTCATGACATTCGAACTCAACCTTCATTACGATGTAACGGTGATATAATCAAACGTTTTTTTAAATCAGATAATAATTGTAACCTCCAGAGAGACCACAAGCTAAAACCAGCGGCTGCCAGGCAGGATACGCCCACATTTTGCAAGAGATGGATAGCGAACAAGCTAAAAACAAACAGGATTTTTTGTACAATCAGGGGCAATAATCCAGAAAGTTATGGTCTGAAATGCACCAATATCAAAAGGGACTGAGATCTTTGGGATATAACCCCTAGAGGGTTGACAACCTTCGTATTGCATACTTTTACACAATTTGTGAACAAAGAGCAGGCATTTTGTTGGGCAGTTTCATTTCAATTTTCCCGAAATTCGAATTCAACCTTCATTATGGTGGAATGGTGAAATATTTAAAATCGGAAAAAAATTGTGATCTCTAGATAATCCGCAAGCTAAAAATGCCATTTTTCAAACAATAAGGGGCCATAATCCAGGAAGTTAAGTTCGTGTATCCGCAATTATCAAAAGGATTCATGATCTTAGTGTGTAATGGTGATACATTTACACATTTTTTTTAAATCAGATAAAAATTGTGACCTCTACAAGGACCACAAGCTAAAAACGCTATTTTTCGTACAATTAAGGGCCATAATTAACTTACATTTCAAGTTTCATAAAAATCAAAAGAAAATTGTGACCTCTAGAGGGTCCACAACATTGATATACCATATTTTTGGTCCGATTTTCACGAAGTTCAAAGTCAACCTTCATTACGGTGTAACGGTGATATACTAAAACGATTTTTTAAATTGGATAAAAATTGTGACCTCTGGAGGGACCACAAGCCAAAAGCGCGATTTTTCGTACAATCAGGGGCCATAATTCAGGAAGTTACGATCCGATATGCGCGAATATTGAAAGAAACCATGATCTTTGGGTTATAAACATGCATTTCAAGTTTCATCAAAATCGGATCAAAATTGTGACCTCTAGAGTGTTCACAAGCTAAAAACACGATTTTTCGTACAATCAGGGACCATAATCCATGAAGTCATGGTCCGATACATGCCAATATCGAAAAGAACCAAGATCTTACGGAGATAAAGCTATATTTTAAGTTTTGTTGAAATCGGATAAAAATTGTGACCTGTAGAGTGTCCACAAACAAATGTGGACGGACGGACAAACAGGTGCGACGACAATATACGTCCACATGAAAATGTGGGCGTATAAAAATTCTGATGAAAACATACAATGATCAAAAAATCTAATCGAAACTTACAATAATCTAAAATTTTGAATTCATAAAAATTATTGAATGAAATGAAATGAAATGGGGTTTAACATCCTACACTGACTAGGCTAATGAAGACAGGTATATAGTGTGGTATGAGGGAAATTTTATCCTGATAGCGTTGCTATGGCCTACTCTTATAATGTATCCCAACTGCCAAGGGTTCTTTACCGTGTATGCCAATGTGTATACAAGGCCTATGTATTTATTCCCATCAGAATGACTATACGTTATCCCTTGCCAGGCCCTCTGTCCTGCACCATTGACAAGGGTAACCTAGCTACGACTGGGTGCCTTTAGTTATAAGTGGCAAACTTAATTTCTTTAATTATGCATGTAACATCTTATAAATAAGATAATTTTATACTATTATGACTAATTAAACTTACAGAGGCCAATGTAGTGGCACAATTATCGCCTAACTCCAAATATTCGCGTTTAAATTAATGAAGCGTTGTTTTTATCCGACATACATCTCCTGTTTAAAAAAGGCGTTCCTATTAACGGCTTAACACCTCGATTTTAAATACAATGATTTTTTACCTGTTTCAGGTAGGATTATATGCTTAATTGTAGTTGGATGTGGCACAAATATTATAAATAACAATAATCAATCGTTGTTTTGATGAAAAATATTGTCAATTTTGCTTACTGGAGCCCGATGTGATTTGCGTTGGGCTTTGCTACGTGTAACTATATACAGTACGCAAAAATCCAAGGCACTCGTTTTATTTTAGAAAAGAATAACTGTATTTCGATGGAAGAATCTATTCCACATGAACCCCAAATCAATGATAACTGTCAACTTGTATGTTGTCATTCTCGTGCAGATTGGTTTGAATAACAGAAACGTCCCTTGGATCCAAGATCAAAGAAAAAAATCGCACGTAGCCACTTTGTTGTTTTTATTGGTTAAGATTATGCCGCCAAGACCCAAAGTTGCCAGAAACCATGCAGTGTTCACCTTACAACAGGTCCATTGATTTATGGTTTATTTTATAATTTATGATACCGTTTAGACCACAATGCGTTACGATTTAAATTTTGGTATTCCAAGTTGATTATATATGCAAGTTTATTTGCAAAAGGATATTAATTTGGATTGGTATTATTTTTATATTTGCCTGTGATAATTATTAAGGATATTTAACATCTACAATATGAGTATAAAAGGTAAGGTAAACACTTCTTACATATGCGTAAATTTTTAATAATGTACATTTGTAAGCGGTAAAAGATATCAGCCGAAAATCTAACTGATAAATTCACGACAATGTTTCCTTATATTTGGAGTTGTTTCGTTTCGTGTACGGAAAATAGATTAACGATTAGTTTTAACATTATTTATCATGCCGAAACATATCATTCCAATTTCTCTTGTTAAAGGGAGGTTCGTACTATTTAAGAAATGACCTTTTGGCCCGACATACATGTACGAATAATCGCCGTCTTATAAAATGCGAATTCCGTTTATGTAAAAGGGGCTCCGGCGCAATTTAAGGAATTATTGTTGACCCAATATTAACCATCGCCAATTTTTTAAATCATGGGATAAAGTCAATCAGCAAACAATACGGGTCTACTTTATTACAAAAACATTGGTGAACTTATCGTTGATCGTTAGGTAAATAAAACAATATAAACAACCAACTGGTCCTCTTCAATAGTTATGAAATTAATTAATCTAGAAAGCACATCAAAGAGTGTAGAATAAATGGTCTAACAGAAAATTCAGTTGTTAAAGGGGCGTGGGGCTATTTAAGGAATGACGTTTGTGCACAATATAATGAAATGATTTCCACCGGTGTAAGGCAGAATATGTCAACTGCAAATGACTAAACATCATTTTGTTCATAAGCCGCTCTGCCTGCGTGAACCTTAAGCCTGTACCGATTTAAACAAAAATACGAGTTTTACCGTAACAGAGTAATCACAATTACTCGTTACAAATTGGTATTACTTGTAGCGGATTGGGTGGGGGTCCGGTCGAATCCTAACAACCCCGTGAAATCGCGACGAGTAACTTCTTGGTTACCGTAGTCATATTTTAAGTGTAACTTTGTTTTCTTTATTTTCACATTCTGCTAATTAAGAAACCATTTGAGTAATAAATACAGGTAATTGAATGGACTGAAGCTTCATGTATAATCAAAAAGAAATCGACATCTCTTTTGAAAATATGTATTTATTACTACTGACAATTAACAATAAAAGTCATATTGTCCACGAGCACAAGACTACAACAAGGTAATAGTTTGTTGTTAAAGGGGCGTCTATGTTCTGTCAGTCGATTTCCTTTCATGTCACGTGTCAGTTCTCATTGTGGAACCTTGATTGACAGTATGCATCCACCAGACTCTATGGTGCCGAAATGAAAACGTCAGCAAGGTATTATCGGACTGATACGTGTCAATGTACATGTGTTCAGCAAAGTTCCATAAACTTGTTGACGGTGAATTCTGACTTTGTGTGAATACATATCAGGAGACAAAGGCTTTTAATTTATTTGTGATTTAAACCAGAATTATTTATCAGTATGTGAATTACTATTTAGATGGATAAATCTACGCCCCCGGTAAGACTAGCATATATGGGTGTCATGTTATAATTTTTCAGTAATTTGATTGAATTTGTAATGGTCCATCGATGCAAGTCTTACAAATGTCTAACATATTAATGAAGTAATAATGTATCGGTATAAGCATATTTCTGTTTAAAAGATGACAATACCCGGGTTTAAATAACAGAATTACCCTGTGATATAACCCTATATACGGTCCATGATATAACAGATCAAAGAAACGCGTACGCCAATCTTCACACGTAGCTACCAACACATTAAGTGATCTATAATAACAATGTATAGCTCTACATGTACTTCATCCTAAAATAAACGATCAGAGGCATGGTTTAATTAAAACACCGAGTCACACCGTGTTTCCAACACCGAGGCAGTGCTATCGTGTCACTCGATATTCGCTCGGTGTTCACTCGGTAAATCACTGAATTCCACGATAAAAAACATGGTAATATCGTGTCCCGTCAAACCATCGTGACGGCCGTACTGTAGCACCATCTCTTATCTCGAAAAATAGAGGGTTGAGAGATGAGGTTTGTTATCTAGGGGTAACCCCACTGGAAAATTTCAATGAAATTTCTCAGTCAACATGGGGATCAAAAATGGGAGCTCCAGGTTAGCGAGCCAGCGTCTTACTCACTGAGCCACTGCGGCTCCCGGGGTCTAAAATGACACTAAATCAATTTTTACAGAATTTTCGGGTAAATCTTTAAACATGTAATTCTATGTTCAAGAATGGTCAACTTACTGTATTTAGTTTTGGTGAGTTGTGAACAATTTTCAGGACATTGATCATCAATAAAGTGAGGACTGATGAGATTTGGACAACATTCTAATTTAATACACGCTTGACGACAAAAATCCTCTAATTGACTCTTCATTTTACAAATCTCTACAACAGCACGATAACTTTTAGTTTTATATCTGTAAATAAAACAAGACAATATATCATGCAAAATAAATTTATTCCTGTTCTTGGAACAATGCTAAATATTATAAATATTGATTGGGGCTTCTAAGACCCTTAATACACCTATCAGTAGCAATGTCATCAGTGTTAATTCTTGAGTCATTGAGAACAAATCCTGCAGGGCAAGTTTAAACCCACAAATATATACAGGACGAAAATATACGTCCACATAATATGTGAGTGTATAAAACATATTAAACACGCCAACAGTGAGGCTGATGTCCCCCGCCGAAATCTCAAAATAAATAGATGACACATATTAATTAATAGCAGATTTATTTTTTTCAAAAGTATTCAGCAATCAAACTGATTATCAACTATACACTAAGTTTCACCACTCTCTATCAGATAGAATCAAAGTTATCTTGTCCCAAAGCATCAACCAATGAAACTGCTTAGCTTTAGCTTGAAATGTTAATCATTGAACTCATTCAAGACATTCACCTAATAAACATCTACATCAAGTTTAAACTTTCTACCTAATTTCAAAGCAGAGTTGTTATGTTCAAAAGTCTTGACCAATCAAATTGCTTATCGCTCCTTAGTCTAAGCAAAAATTCTCATCATCGAAGTTAGTCAAGGTAATGATTAAATTAAAACTAAAGTTTATCGTGCCTCAAAGCATCAACCAATCAGATTGCTTACCTCTGCTTACCGTAAGCAGAAAATGTTCATCATCGAACTTAGTCATGGTATTGATGAAATAAAGCTATACACCAAGTGTCCTCACTCTCACTTAATTAGAACTAAAGATATCGTGTCCCAAAGAATCAACCAATCAAATTGCTTATCTCTGCTTACCCTAAGCAGAAAATTCTCATCTTCGAACTCAATCAAGGCATTCACCTAATAGACACCTACGCCATGTGTGAACATTCTAACTCAATTAGAATAAGAGTAAGTGTGTTACAAACTCTCGACCAATCAAATTGCTTATCGCTCTGCTTACCCTGAGCAGAAAATGCTCATTATCGAACTTCATGGTATTGATGTAATGAAACTATACACCAAGTTTCATCACTCTCACTTAATTAGGACTAAAGTTATCGTGTCCCAAAGCATCAACCAATCAAATTGCTTATTGTTATGGCCAGAAATACGATTTCAAATTATTTAGTTGATTCCGTAATTTCAATTAACCAGCGTGTACGCGTAACATTTCGTTTCGCAATTTTTTGTATCCCGAAGTTTGTTAGTATTAGAAACGGAAGTTATAAGCACATGGCAGAAGCGTTTCATGGCAGTAGCTATTTGGCAGAACATAGCACTTTTATCAGTTATTAACATTTGTCAGACCTTGTCAGCTATGTAAGAGATTCGAAGGGGATTCGCATAAAAACACGGTATTTGTAGTGTCAATTTAATATATTATTTAGATGTTCATTGTTTTAATTTATATGTATTATTGCAACATTGTCATCACGCTCCACACTCGCTCCACACTCGTGAGTCATGGCATTAGACTGATGAGGTCCCCACCAGGTCCGCTTCGCATGCTTATTTGACTGGTCGCTTGTCGTATCTCTATTGTTATTATGTGTAGTCTGTTTTAGTGAGCTAATTAATATATCTAAACAATAGCGCTGACCTTGGGAGTAAAATACATTCCACCACAGTTTTTGTATTATACCATATTCATAGATTGTTACAGTTCTATGGTTAGATAAAGTTAATATTAGTAGTTGTCTCCCCTTAATCGTATTTCGTTTTAGTGGAGAATAATAGTACATGTATTATGTTTTGCTCTATGATTATTTATAGGAATGTTTTGTTATTTTGTTTGGTATTTTGACTTAGTAAAGCCATGATTGCATTATGTACCTTACTGTCAGCATTCATGAGCCTGTCCCTTGGCTTGAAAAGTTGATTACCTTGTGTAATGTTAACTACCAGTATTATTATCTTATTTCACACTTTTCATAATTATATTCCCATATTTACTCTAGAGTATTTGTGTATTTCAGTTAATCGTCTTACGTCATATGATCTACGATCTGTATACAGTTATTAATCATCATTTCAACTTTAATAATAAGAATTATGTTAATCTACATATATTGTTTGTCATCATTCAACTTATGACAATAGACGTATTAGTGTTCTCGCTTGTTGGCAGTATAATCTCCTACACTTATCTCTGCTTACCCTAAGCTGAAAATGCTCATCCTCGAACTCCATCAAGGCATTAACCTAATAAACATCTACACCAAGTTTGAACATTCTAGCTCAATTAGAAGGTGAGTTACTGTGTTCCAAAGTCTCGGCCAATCAAATTGCTTATCACTCTGCTTACCCTGAGCAGAAAATGCTCATTATCGAACTTAGTCAATGTATTGATGTAATGAAACTATACACCAAGTTCCATCACTCTCACTTAATTAGAACTAAAGTTATCGTGTCCCAAAGCATCAACCAATCAAATTGCCTATCTCTGCTTACCCTAAGCAGAAAATGCTCATCTACCAACTCTGTTAAGGCATTGACCTAATAAACACCTATACCAAGTTTGAACATTCTAGCTCAATTAGAAAGAGAGTTATTGTGTCCCAAAAAGTGTGACGGACAGACAGACGGAT